TTCAAGTAACCATAAAATATATCTGAAAAATTAAAAAACAATTTGAATACCATTTAAGAAATCTGAATAATTGTCAAAAGTTTCTAGTATTTTCGATGTACATAATGCAATGTGAACATGATATCATGTATATACAAATTCATTTAACCGAAAACTTAATTTATTACATGATATTTTTTTTAATCTGACCAGAAATGACTTCCTTTGATCATCTTATTTTATTTTTATTTTAAAGATGATATACATATTTAGAGTAATTATGAATATAATATGTTTTCAGCTGTGTATCACCTTCACTGGTGATCCAATGGATGGATCTATCATAGAGTTGTCACTTGTTTAGACGTACTTATTGTATCTTATGATTTTTTACGATAGATATTTAGCTAATCTGCAATAAATGCCATCTTCATGCCTATCATGCAATGTGTTGCAACTCTAGATTCTGCTGACGAGGAAAGGTAAGACTAGGTCACCGAAAGCTAAATTTTTATTTCAGTCTAGGTGGCCGAGCAGTCTAGAGCCCTGGGCACAGTGCAGGCGGTGTTGTCTCGATATCCCAATAACTTGAGTTCAAATCCCAGCGAGTGAAGAACCAAAATAAGCTTCCGCAAATTTGCAAATTTAACATTGTTGTGCTGATATTTAGAGTAATTATGAATATAATATGTGTTTTCAGCCGCGTATCACCTCCTCTGGTGATCCAATGGATGGATCTGTCGTAGAGTTGTCACTTGTTTAGACTAACTAACTATATAATATATATATATATATATATATATTAATTACTCTAAATATCAGCACAACAATGTTAAATCTGCAGATTTGTTCTTTCTCGCCCTCTACACAGAAAATTATTAAAAGTAAAAGACACGCAAAATCGTTAAAGAAGTTACTGACCAGTGCAAAATTAAACAATCTTCTATCAAAAAAATGCGGACGTTCAACCTGTTGGTATTTGTTTTGGAAGGAGAATCATATGAATTTAAATCGGGAGAGAATTTTAATATTAAGAACTCTTTTACATGCGCATCAGGAAACGTAATTTATGCAATCAAATGTAATGGGTGCAAAAAAGATCATTTTGGCGAAACAGGAAATACATTAAACCAAAGATTTACAGTTCACCGTCAACACATCCAACATCCAGGAACTAGGATGATTAGCGCTAGTGAACACCTGGATTTATGCGCAGCCAATAAATTACCGAAATATTATGTGTTCCCATTCAACCAATGTGACGACCAGTTTACTGAAAAAATGCGAATAAATAAAGAAATTATGTTCATTAAAAAGTACAAACCAAGCTTAAATAGATAAGACACAACTTATGTAAGGGTTACGTCCCTTTTGTGCATTGTTACGGACTCATAATAGTGACGTTACCATTGACTTCATTAATTACATTCATCCATGATTATCACAAAGATGTGTAACCGGTTGGAGAAAAATATAGTAAATTAAAGAACTTTAGTAGCATTTTGAACTTTTTTTTTATATTTCTTCTAGTGTGGACGCAGAATTTAATTTTAAGTATACATATAGATATCTAAAGATTTGCACAACGGTACTAATACAAGATGGTAATATACGAAAATGATGTTATAAAATCGTGTTGAAACTATTTCAGTGTCAATAATTTCAACAATACTAAATATCTATTTTGTTACATCTGGTGATCCGTTTATTTTGGCAATCGCCATGGCAGTCAGTGGTTTCAGAACAACCGTTGTTTGACCTGCTAGTCAAATGCGTTTTGTCAAAACATACTTTTTCACCTTTTTGGTCTTTTGGAAAATTTTGCTAGTGCTGTATTTAGACCCCTCTACCAAGAAATTTGTTTTGCATGCACAGGTATAAAAATTGCGGTTTTTATCCAACGCAATCATAGGTTTGAGCGTTGTTTTCAATTTAGACTTTATTTATATACGTATAAGTGTTGATGAATATGATGTTGATGATTACATCATGTTTATTGTTAAATTTAGTTTCAATGCTATATAACATACATTTTTTATTTCAAATTGTTGTTCAAATTTCTAGCCAAGAGAAATATCTGTTAAAACAGTTCCTAAATTGATGAAATATAATAGATAGATATAAAAATAGGTCTAGGTTGGTTAAGAATTGATCGAGTATGGTTAAGACTAGGTCGAGTATCTTTCAGACTAAGTCGAGCATGGTTCAGACTTGGTCGAGAATGGTTAAAACTACGAGTATGATTCAGACACGTATACAATGGTTAAGTACTGGTCGAGTAAAGGTCAAGTACAAGATCAGACTGTTAAGTATGATTCAGACTACAGTCGAGTAATATCAAGTAAATTTCAGACCAATTCAGACTGATCGAGTAAAATTCAATACAGTCAAGTACACATGTAGGCCATTTCAGACTTTTACTGGTTTATAGTGTAATGTGACAATAATTGGGATCAAGCAACCAAAAATGTGTAAACATGTATCAGAGACACACAACACAACTGACAAAAAAAAAATCAAACAAACAAACAAATAAACAAATAAATCGGACAAAGACCCCAACTAAAAAGTTAGTGTATTGGATAGTAAATCTGACAAATCACCAACAAAAAATGTTTGTGATAGTACACAGTTTATTAAAACATAATACCGTGCTGGTATACACTTTCCCAATGAGGTACAGATCATGTTAAATATTAATACACGGATACACAAAACTTTTGACCCACCTCCATCAGGAACGACAACAGCCAAAAAACTCAATAAATTGATGCATAAATACAGAGTAACATCAAGAGTGATAAGAACAAAAGGAACATAATAGCTGAAAAGCAAATAAAGGAAAACTGTGAAGTAAATAACATGATACAAAACCTAAGCATCTAAAAATCCGTCTTGTATCATTTTTGAAGTAGACACTGAAGATTTATCTTTTAGGTCTTGGTACTTCCCGATGCAGTTTTTGAGAAAAGTACGAGACTTTCTTTGACAAAACCGCTGTTCACTACTTTTTTTTTATCAGACACCGATGGCGTTATACAAAGTTTGAGGTGCAGATGCAAGCTCTTGATTACCGTATGCGTTGTAAAATTCATAATCCATATGCGGGGGAAGTTGGTATAATGCTACAGAGGTGAGGAAAAAATATAATTTCAATGTTAAAATCGTCTTGTTTATCTAGGAATCTGTTAATGGAAGACCGCTGAAGTCAAATTCATGGTATATGTCAGGAAATGAGACAAAAGAAGACTAGTTCTGGAGGATATATTAATGGGATCGAATCATAAAAGTTTTAATTGTTATGGAAAGAACATCAATATACCAGTATGTTAAATAAAATGATCTAGATTCTTTGATCGTCTTTGTTCTCATTGTCTTAAGAGACACCGATTAATAAGAAAAGGTTGGTCAGAAGAGGTGTACAGGTTGTTCCAATAGGTAACGCATACAACATGTTGCAAAGTTCTACATCAAAATTCAACAAATCTTTTGTCAACGAGAGCCGCCAGCATACTGATCACTTGTTGTTTGGTGTGACATGTTTTTTTTTTCGGGCACATTTTTAACAAAATATGCCGAATTATACCCTAAACCAGTAAACTCGTAGCGTTTTGTATCATTGCTATGGAGGAAAGCATTGTGGATTATTTCATGTTGACGGGGATTCAATTTGTCACGTGAAATAGTGGTATAAAGATTTGAAAAACGAAGGTTTTCATATAATTTTGTTCAGTGATTTTAGATATTCCCGAAGTTCTTTTGAGTTCTTTAAAATCCATATCTGATAAATGCCAATACGCGAGTTAACAGTATCACAGTATATCTGAAATCCTTCTTTCACTGTAATGACCTAGAGAATGGTCTGTTTATTCTAAGAATTGTCAATCACAAATTCAAATCGTATTCTCTAAGACAAGTTCGCGATTAAGAATACATTGTACTTACATAATTAATAATTCATATAATTTTTGCTTCTCAATTCCAATTGTGCTTTCTTAGATATTTATGTATATGAAGTTACCAATTTTGAAAATACATGTACCAATAAAATAATGTCTTCATGAAGAAAATTCAAACACAACCCAGAACATTCTGTATTGATACATCTGTCAAATGGTTATAGCAATAAAATCGCTATACATGTATTAAGCTATTAAACAGGAATCTCAAATTGGTGGCAAACCTGTGTACTAGAAATCATATAATGATCATTTGCCAATGGTTTTCAAAATTAGAACTTCACAAATCTGGTGCGGCCGAAGTGCTGTTCTCGATCAACTCCATTAGAAACATTTAAACTTAAACGTTTGAAAGCAAAGTTTGTATAGACACAAATGCGCGAGGCACCCGGACGTTGCACGAATTGAAATCCATCTTTACTACTTTCTTTTACATGAAACATGGGCTAAATAAACAGATATATTCAGAAAAAAAAAAACAGTAATCAACAACGTCAAACATTACACTTTCTTTTTATTTTTTACAATTCTGAAGTTGTAAGTTGCACTGTAAATTTTTTTGATAGCAAAAAACTGAAGAACGGAATACAAAATGTATATTTTTTCTTAATATACTCTTTTTACTTTCTTAATTATTTGTTCATAGATACACATGTTTTAATCAGGTATACCTGTAACATAATGGAAATGACAACTGTACCATTGGCTTTCATAAACTACTATGGAATACTTAAGGACAAACTGATGGACTAAAACATCTCAATAAAGATAATAGGCTTTTAAAAGGTACGTCATGCGCGCGATTTGTCTACAAGAAACTCACCAGTGGCGCTTGAAAAAAAACAGATGAAAGGAAAATAAATACGAAGTTGGTTTTCTTACTTGACTGTAAACGATAATTTGTTGAGTTTCAAATACCCTTATTCTTTAATTTGTTTTTATTAAAACAACTTAATCATTGAAGCATCATTGAAAAGGAATACCAACTAAAAGGGATCAGGACACAGGCCCACATTTAAAACTATAAACATTTAGACTAATGGGCCCTACATAGACCTTAAAGAACTTCCGACAAAACACTTCTTTGGAACATCCCAGCAACAGATATATTTTAATATGACATTTAAAAGTTTTTATTTTTACTATTTTTATTGTTGAAGAACTGGTCAAGTTATTTGAAAATTTTAATATTTTTCTGAACAATATATTAGGTCTCAGTTATTTTCCTTCAAACTTTTTCAAGACCATCCAAAATGAATTATTTTCACTTGCAGCGTCATCTATTTGCTCTGTTGATAAAAATGTTGTACTCTTGCGCAAGCGATCCTGAAATATTTCAACTTTAATTCCATATTTGGCTCGTTCCTTGCATCGTTCTAGCGCATCAATCCTCGACTTAAAGCCCTTTCGATTTTCTCTTTTTTCACTTTCTATCATTAATTCAATATACTCCACAGTACTCTTGGGGTCTGATCGTAAAGCTATTTTTTTCAGACGATTATTTAGCTGACTTATGGCTACGACAAGGACTTGAATTTTATAATCTAAAGTTTCAACATCTTGTTTCATATTTGCGATAACCTGTTCCTGTGAAAGTCTCTGTTGATTTGCCTCTTGATACTTTTTGAGCTTTTCAGCGTACCGCTTTCTCTTCCTAACCGTAATAGTTTTGAAAATATATGGCGTATTATGGTGATGGTTCCATGCGCACGAATCAGGACATTGAGTGCATTTTCCATCTTTCATTGCTATACAATCAGCTTTATTTCTATCATCAGAAATCTTGCAAAACTTGTGACATGTAAAGTTACAAACCAGACAGGTCGTAGTGTATTTTCCTGTACCCTCCAAGTTCTCTTTTACTTGTTGGAGTTCTTCAACTTGGTATTCAAAGTCTGCATTGTCCTTGATTGCATCTTTGTACTTGGTAAATATTTCAATTTCTTCCTCAAGGGTATTTATTTTTGACATTCCTTCATCAACTTCTTGTTGCAGATTATAAATTTTATTTTGAAGAGTATGCCTGCTGTTAAGAACTTCCGCGGTAAGGGTTAAACTTTTGGTGTTTAATGTTGTAACATGATCAAAGAAAGTTTTACAACTTTTAATACCCATGTCCCAAAACATCGGAGAAAGGCTTCCTTTAGTTGTGCCTTCATTTTCTGCAAACAAAGCTGAATTGTTGAAAGTAAAGAAATGTTCGTATGGTAGGGGAACGCCTTCTATTGATTGAATCGCATCTATAACTGGAGGACGCTGTCCATCAGCAAATGTAATGAGTGTGCAAATATTCTCTTTTATGTCATTGCCGAAAAGAGCAAGAATTGAGTCGAAAATGTAACGCTGTGTAATTGTCATCCTCGAATCTGGAGCCTTTACTAGAAAGCAGACGGCATCGAGTGTAACTACTCCTTTACAGCTTTTTAGAGAGAATAATTCGCGAATCTGGTCTACTATGACTGAATCTTGCTCTAATCCTCTTGTATCTCCAAATCCGGGAGTATCTATCAAGTTGATTGTGTAGTCAATTCGACTGCAGGAGGAATTGTAAATAGTATAACACGTAACCCATTCTGTCTGGGAATGTGACTACAAATATAAATAGGATAGCTTTAAAAAAAATGAGTACCAGATCTAGAGACTTAGGTGATATAAAAAGGTTGTAGATCCATAAAACAAGGTATATATCCACCAGTTTGTGGCTTCTCTGTTTACACATTTTGGTTAAAAGCTGTAAAATGTTAGATAATTTTGACTTTCTAAATTTTTAAATCTGTTTTATGTAAGAAAGTGTCCACTTTAATTTTTATACTATTACTCATTTTATCACTGAAACATTCACAACATGCACAATTACTTATTATACTTATTGCTACAGCGCGTATCTTTAGGCATCGACAACGGCTTCGTTCAGGTAGATAGGGAAAACTTACGATACAGATTCTCATGTGTATTTTTTGTCTTTGCAGTGTCTTTATCAGGTGTGAGACTTAAAGTTTGATATGTCAAATTATACAACCTTTTAGAGCAGAAAACCAACAGGATTTTAACAGAACAACCAACAAACTTTGTCTTAACTTTTAAAGCTATAGACGTTAAAAAATAAAGTAATGAGAAGTGTTGTCAGACCTATAGCGTACTATAGAGATAACTATATAGAGGTTGGTGATGAAAAAAACAAACTATGTACTTAGAATAAGAATTAGAATTAGATCAAAACTGTAAGATGTAAATAAGAAACAGACTTAAGTGCCAGGTGATAAGGCATAAACAAATGTTGTTTGACGTTAGTTTTATATGTGAAGAAATAACAAATTCTAAAACTTGCTTCGGCAAATTATCTAGAAAATGATATAAAAAGCACCTAACAAAAACGAACATCTTTCAGATATCTTGAGGTAAAAGCGATATATACTACAGATACAGTTGATTCGGCCTCAATTCTTGACTTACATTTAGAAATTAAAAATTGGTTGGTTGAAAACTAAACTTTACGACAAAAGAGACGATTTCAGCTTCCCGATACTGAACTTATCGTTTTTAGTAGCAACACTCCTTTAGCGCCTGCATATGGAGTATATATCTCTGAGTTCATACGATATTGTAGGCCTTGTATTTTCTATCATGATTTCCCTGATATAGGGTTGCTCCTCACAAGGAAGCTATCAAACCAGGAGTTCCAAGTAGGGGTGTTGAAATAATCCCATCATATATTTTACTGACGCCATCACGAGTTGGTTGACCGTTATGGAATATCTGTTTCACAGATGACGACGGATATGTTCCAATTGTAGTAATCACAATCGTGAATGTGACCTTTCGAGTTAGACTTATCACAGAGTTTGTACTTCCATGAGCAACACAACGGGTGCGTCATGTGGAACAGAATCTGCTTAACCTTCTGGAGCACATGAGATCCCCCCAGTTTTTGGTGGGGTTCTAGTTGCTCAGGTTATAGTTTTCTCTTGTGGTTTGTAAATTATTGTTTGTCTTTTGGTATTTTTCTTTTTTTTCGCGATGGCGTTATCGTTGTCAGTTTATTTTTCGACTTATGAGTGGGAATGTCCGTTTGGCTTCTTTCGCCTCTCTTTTTCAGACATCAAATCAAAATCACAGTGTCGTGATAATTTACTGGTCACTTAAAAGTAGAGGTATAATAACGTAACTGAAAAAAAAAAATTATTACAAAAATACCAAACTCCTAGGCAAATTCAAAACGGAAAGTCCCTTATCAAATGGAAAAATCAAAAGATAAAACACATCAAACGAACGGAACTGTCATCTTCCTGACTTGTTACAGGCATTTCCTTCTGTAGAAAATGGCTGATTTTATGGCTAGCTAAACCTCTCACTTGAATACAAAAATGTGTGAGCAAAACAAACAGACACAATAGGTAAAAACGACAAATATTTGGGAACAGTAGTCAACACTGTTGTATAATCTTAATCCCTATAAAAACGAACAACTATGTCAACAAAAGAAAAACAAAATGGCATATAGAGACAAGGATACACAAAAAGACTATTGCACAATAAGGGGATATACAAATACCGAGCCTCGCCAAAAGGATATTACGAAAAATGGTCTCAACAGTAAAGGCCTAATTTATAACAAAACAATTCACGAAAAAAAAATATGACAGACATTAACCACTGACAACCACGAAACTACAGGCTCCAAGAATATTATGGATATTTGTGACATTTATACGTAATATTTATCAACAAGGTCTTGGTATCTTCCGATAAAACCTTTTTTTTAGAAAAAGGACGAGAAGTTCGTTGACATAACCCTGGTTCACCAAATTTATGCTCATACACTTGTGACGTTTTATAAAGTCTGAGTAGCAGAAGCGAGGTCTTGAATACCGAATGAATTGGGAAATGTATATCCCATATGAAGGTGGAGTTGGTATTTTGCTGCTAAGGTGGGGGACATTTAAAAAATTTAAAAAGTCTCGTTTGTCACAGATTCTGGTACTAAGATGACCGCTTATGTCAAATTCAAATTATAAGTCTACAAAATACGGCTGACGAAGACGTGTCTGTTGTTTCTTTATTTTCTAGATCTGGAGAATATATCAAGGGAACTCAATCGGAAAAGTTTGGATTGTTAATGGAATGGCAATCATCATTAATATATCTGAATGTGAAATTAAATGATCTGGCTTCTTTGATAATTTTGTTTTTGACAAGTGTCTGAAGGGACTCCTACTCATGTGAAAATTAGAAGAGGTGGCAAGGAAAGGCGCACAGTTTGTTCCCATATGAATGCCGACAATTTGGTGAAAAAGTATATTTCAAAGTTCCACAAACATGTTGTCAGTAAGAAGCTCCAACGGTGTAGCACGTTTAACCTTTTTGTTCACCATGAATATTATGTGCCGTAAGGTATCACAAAGCAATAAATTTATAGCGTATGCTACCATTTTTATTTTGAAAACGTGGATTATTTTTTTAGACGATATTTCAATTTTACATGTTGAATGGTGTTATAAAGGGTTAACAAATCAAAAGTTTTGATAGAACTTATTTCAAAAAAAGATCAAGATTTTAAATCATCCTTAAGTTCTTTAGAGTTCTTTTAGAATCCACAAATGGTTAATACCACTAGGCGAATAACCTGTTTCACGATGTGTCTGAAGACCTTCTTTCACTGCAGACAGAACTTTTAGAACGCTATAATTTGGTCCCTTTATTGACTAAAGATTAACTAACCGTTTTTTTATTAAAGTATTTAAGATTACACTAGAAACTACACGTTCTTCTTTGATAGACAATTGTATTCGCAGAGCTCTGACACCGATAATTGAACAACAATTGCTGCAACATATACACATCTTGTGAATCTATTTGAGGACACTATTTAATGACAAGTTGAATTAGAAAGTGACTTATTTCATCGAAGATCTTCAGTAACATAAAGGAAGTAACTTGTAAATAAAAGATAATATATAAAAATACATCCAATTAAATGTTGATTATGGTTCAGAATGACATTCTTATACATTTTTTAGGTAATGACTCCGTATTTCCTAAAATCTGTCATAAATGAAATTTAGGTATATATGATTCGATCAATTGTTCGGGAAAACACGAAACTGTTATTGAAACCAAGTACACATATGAACTTATGCTACTGTTTGCACATGTTTGTGCTTGTTAAGAAGGATTGGAACCCATGCTTCGGTGACATCAGGGCAACTACACTTGCACTGTTTCCAAAAGCAACCACATAGACTGTTCGGCCAATATCCCGGCTAATTCTTCAATTTGCTTATTTACCCGGACAAGGGAAATGAGTCCCTATCCCTTGTGGCTAAAAACGATATCAGTCGCCGTTTAACTTTTAACAATGATCAAAACCAACACCATATAGCAGCTATAAAATAAACATTACAAAATGTGAAAAATTCAATCGGTTCAAAACCAACGGCAAGACTTGTTACGTATTATATCATCTTCAAATCACATTTTTTATCATTATAATTCTATATGGATATGCGTAGAAAATGATTTTATATTTACAGAAGTTTGTACAGAAGACCCCTTCAACGAACATTTTTATTTAGCCAATGATTTTTAAGAAAGTAGAGCTTGTAACATTTGTTATTTCATATGTTATCCGTTGGTATTAAGAGTTAGGTGTCTCAGCTTTGACTTGTACCGAGATGAGTACTGTATACTGTAAATGTTTTGGCAAATTGGATTCCGATTATTCCTAAATTATAAAAATTAAGCTTAAAGGAGATGTGACACGAATTTTTTTTTATTAAATCAATAAAAATTAGTCTTCAAACATGTTTTGTACAATTTTGCTTGTCAAAACCAAATCAATCCAGAAATAACTTACTGTGCATTTATAACAATTTTAGACATTTTTTTATATGAAAGCATATTGTCATGTTGGGAAAAGCTAAAAATAGCACAAATTCAGGTTTAAGGCTCTTGATTTGCAATATGTGACTTTTTGACCCCAAAAAGATTGAAATGTGGCTAATATCATTTCAAATGATGAGTTAAGACAAAACAATCAATTGTTTTCTGATTTTGGGGTTTTACCGCATTTCGCTTTAAAGAGCCAAGAAAGTTGATCAGAAATCTTTTGTTTTTCTTTATTTTTAATCCTTAGTCAATTTATAGTTAAAAACATTCTATCTGATCAGAATGCGACTTATATTACAAAATGCACAGCTCAATTTAAACCGACTGTAATATATGATTTTTTTTAGAAAATACTTGAAAATTTCATTTTGGACTACAGGAACATAAACTTTCAATATCAAGATCAGTTTTTGTTGATTTTTCCTTGTTTGTTCTACTGCTTTTAAGACTTTCCACAATTTTTGTTATGAGTTTAGTAAAAAATCCAAGGTATTGAAGAGTCAAGGAATATTGACCCCCCTTTTTTCAACTGGTGTCAGTAATGGGACTATTAATTGATCAAAACTTCAGTCATGGTCATTTAATTGTTTTATTTACTATCAGCCAATAAAATGTAAGATATAAAAAATTTATTTGAGATAATAAATGGGATTTTTGTGAGATTATGCAGTGTTTACATCAGGCTATGTTATCTGCCAAAAACA